TTAGATTAATAGAATTAAATAGATAGATAGATAGATAGATTCATAGATAGAAGATGATAGATAGATAGATAGATAGATAGATTGAATTAAAAGATTCGATAGATAGATAGATAGATAGATTCATTGAATAGAAAAGATAGTAAATAGATAGATAGATAGATTCATTGATAGATAGATTCATTGATAGATAGATAGATAGATAGATAGATAGATAGATAGATAGATAGATAGATAGATAGATAGATAGAATTAATAGATTCATAGATTAGATAGATAGATAGATATTGAGATAGAAAGATAGATAGATAGATAGATAGATAGATAGATTCATTGAATAGAAAGATAGACAGATAGATAGATAGATAGATAGATTGAATGAATTAAAAGACTAGATAGATAGATAGATAGATAGATTCATTGAATAGATAGATAGATAGATAGATAGATAGATAGATTCATTGAATTAAAAGACCCGATAGATAGATAGATAGATAGATTGAGATAGATAGATAGATAGATAGATAGATAGAGATTCATTAGATTAAAATAGACCCCAGATAGATATTCATTGATAGATAGATTCACAGATAGATAGAGATAGATAGATAGATTCATTGATTAAAAGAGTCGGATAGATAGATTCATTGAATTAAAAGACTCGGATAGATAGATTAGATTGAATTAAAAGATTTAATAGATAGATAGATAGATCATTGAATTAAAAGACTGGATAGATAGATAGATAGATCATTGAATTAAAAGATGATAGATAGATAGATAGATAGATTCATTGAATTAAAAAGATAGATAGATAGATAGATTCATTGAATTAAATAGATAGATAGATAGATAGATGGATAGATTGATTAAAAGACTGATGATAGATAGATAGATAGATTTATAGAGATTAAATACAGATAGATAGATAGATTGAATTAAAAGATCGGATAGATAGATTAGATGAAGATAAAAGATAGATAGATAGATAGATAGATTGAATTAAAAGAATAGATAGATAGATAGATAGATGAGATAGATAGATTCATTGAATTAAAAGATTCAGATAGATAGATAGATAGATTCAAAGAATTAATAGATAGATAGATAGATAGATAGGTAGATAGATTTCATTGAATTAAAAGAGTAGATAGATAGATAGATAGATTAGATTAGATGAATTAATAGATTCATGATAGATAGATAGATAGATTGATTTAAAAGAAAATAGATAGATAGATAGATAGATAGATAGATAGATCTATTAAAAGACCCGATAGATAGATAGATAGATTCATTGAATTAAAAGACTCGGATAGATAGATAGATTGAATTAATTAGAAGATCCGATAGATAGATAGATAGATAGATAGATTGAATTAAAAGATATAGATAGATAGATAGATTCATTGAATTAAAAGAGATAGATAGATAGATAGATAGATAGATAGATAGATAGATTCATTGAATTAAAAGACTCGATAGATAGATAGATAGATAGATTCATTGAATTAAAAGATAGATAGATAGATAGATTCATTGAATTCAAAAGACTCGATAGATAGATAGATAGATAGATAGTTAGAAAGATAGATAGATAGATATAGATTCATTGAATTAAAGACTGAGATAGATAGATAGATTCATTGAATAAAAGATAGATAGATAGATTAGATATTGAATTAAAAGACTGATAGATAGATAGATATAATAGAAAGATAGATAGATAGATAGATAGATTCATTGAATAAAAGACTCGAAAGATATAGATAGATATAGATAGATAGAAGAAAAAGACTCGAATAGATAGATAGATAGATTCATTGAATTAAAAGACTCAGATAGATAGATAGATTGAATAAAAGATAGATAGATAGATAGATTCATTGAATTAAAAGACTCCGGATAGATAGATGAGATAGATAAATAGATAGATCATTGAATTAAAAGATTCGGATAGATAGATTCATTGAATTAAAGATAGATAGATAGATAGATTCATTGAATTAAAAGACTAGATAGATAGATAGATTCATTGAATTAAATAGATAGATAGATAGATAGATAGATTCATTGAATTAAAAGAGATAGATAGATAGATTCATTGAATTAAAAAGAATAGATAGATAGATAGATTAAATAGATTAAATAGATTCCAGATAGATAGATAGATTCATTGAATTAAAAGATTCCGATAGATAGATAGATTGAATTAAAAGATAGATAGATAGATTCATTGAATAAAAGATAGATGATAGATAGATAGATTCATTGAATTAAAAGACTGATAGATAGATAGATAGATAAGATCATAGATAGATAGAATTAAAAAGATTCGATAGATAGATTCATTGAATTAAAAGATAGATAGATTCATTGAATTAAAAGACCCGGATAGATAGATTGATTCATTAGATAGAAAGATAGATAGATAGATAGATTCATTGAATTAAAAGATTCCGGATAGATAGATAGATAGATAGATTCACTGGATAGATAGATTCAATGAATTAAAAGATAGATAGATTCATTGAATTAAAAGACTCGGATAGATAGATAGATTCATTGAATTAAAAGATTGAGATAGATAGATTGAATTAAAAGATAGATAGATAGATAGATTCATTGAATTAAAAGACCCGGATAGATAGATAGATTGAATTAAAAGATAGATAGATAGATAGATAGATAGATAGATAGATAGATAGATAGATTGATTAAAAGATAGATAGATAGATAGATAGATTGAATTAAAAGATAGATTGATAGATAGATAGATAGATTAAATGAATTAAAGAGATTCATTGATAGATAGATAGATAGATAGATAGATTCATTAAAAGAATTAAAGATAGATAGATAGATAGATAGATTCAATGAATTAAAAGACCGAGATAGATAGATAGATAGATTCATTGATTAAAAAGATAGATAGATAGATTAAAAGATTAGATAGATAGATAGATTGATAGAAAAATAGATAGATAGATAGATAGATTCATTGAATTAAAAGATTCCGATAGATAGATAGATAGATAGATAGAATTAAAAGATAGATAGATAGATAGATAGATTCATTGAATTAAAAGATAGAGATCGATAGATAGATAGATAGATAGATTGAATTAAAAGATTCGGATAGATAGATAGATTCATTGAATTAAAAGATAGATAGATAGATAGATAGATAGAATTAAAAGATAGATAGATAGATAGATTCATTGAATTAAAAGACTCGATAGATAGATAGATTCATTGAATTAAAAGACTCTGATAGATAGATTCATTGAATAGATTCATTGATAGATAGATAGAATAGATAGATAGATAGATAGATTCATTGAATTAAAAGATTCGGATAGATAGATAGATAGATAGATAGATAGATAGATAGAAAAGATAGATCAGATAGATAGATAGATTCATTGAATTAAATAGATAGATAGATAGATAGATAGATAGATTGAATTAAAAGATAGATAGATAGATTCATTGAGATTCATTGAATCGGATAGATAGAGATAGATAGATAGATAGATAGATAGATTGAATTAAAAGATTCGGATATAGATAGATTCATTGAATTAAATAGATTCGGATAGATAGATTCATTGAATTAAAAGATTCGGATAGATAGATAGATAGATTCATTGAATTAAAAGATTCGATAGATAGATAGATAGATTCATTGAATTAAAAGACCGATAGATAGATAGATAGATTAGATGAATTAAAATAGATAGATAGATAGATTCATTGAATTAAAAGATTGAATTAAATAGATAGATTGAATTAAAAGATAGATAGATAGATAGATTGAATTAAAAGATTCGGATAGATAGATAGATTGATAGAAAGATTCGATAGATAGATAGATTGAATTAAAAGATTCGATAGATAGATTTCATTGAATTAAAAGATTCGATAGATAGATAGATTCATTGAATTAAAAGATTCGATAGATAGATAGATTCATTGAATTAAAAGATTCGATAGATAGATAGATAGATTGAATTAAATAGATCGGATAGATAGATTCATTGAATTAAAAGACCCATAGATAGATTCATTGAATTAAAAAGATTCGGATAGATAGATTTCATTGAACTAGATACAGATGGATAGATAGATTCATTGAATTAGATAGATAGATAGATAGATAGATTGAATTAAAAGACTCAGATAGATAGATAGATAGATAGATTCATTGAATTAAAAGACTCGGATAGATAGATTCATTGATAGATTCATTGAACTAGAAAGATAGATAGATAGATTCATTGAATTAAAAGACTCGGATAGATAGATAGATAGATTCATTGAACTAAAAGATAGATAGATAGATAGATAGATAGATTAGATTGAATTAAAAGACTAGGATAGATAGATAGATAGATTCATTGAATTAAAAGACTATAGATAGATAGATTCATTGTATTAAAAGACAGATAGATGAATAGATAGATTCATTGAATTAAAAGACTCGGATAGATAGATAGATAGATTCATTGAATTAAAAGACTCGGATAGATAGATAGATAGATAGATTCATTGAATTAAAAGACTCGGATAGATAGATAGATAGATTCATTGAATTAAAAGACTCGGATAGATAGATAGATAGATAGATAGATAGATTCATTGAATTAAAAGACACGGATAGATAGATAGATATAGATAGATAGATAGTATTAAATAGATAGATAGATAGATAGATAGATAGATAGATAGATAGATAGATAGATAGATTGAATTAAAAGACTCGGATAGATAGATAGATAGATAGATAGATTCATTGAATTAAAAGACTCGGATAGATAGATAGATAGATAGATAGATAGATAGATAGATAGATTCATTGAATTAAAAGACTCGGATAGATAGATAGATAGATAGATAGAATTAAAAGAGTCGGATAGATAGATAGATAGATAGATAGATAGATAGATAGATAGATAGATAGATAGATTCATTGAATTAAAAGACTCGATAGATAGATAGATTCAATGAATTAAAAGACTCGATATAGATAGATAGATAGATAGATTCATAGAATAAATAGATAGATAGATAGATAGATAGATAGATAGATAGATAGATAGATAGATAGATACATTCATTGAATTAAAAGACTCGGATAGATAGATAGATAGATTCATTGAATTAAAAGACTCGGATAGACAGATAGATAGATTGAATTAAAAGACTCGGATAGATAGATAGATAGATAGATAGATAGATAGATAGATAGATAGATAGATTCATTGAATTAAAAAAAATCGGATAAATTGATTGATAGAGAGATAGATAGATAGATTCATAGATAGATAGATAGATTGATAGAAAAGATAGATAGATAGATAGATTCATTGAATTAAAAGACTCGGATAGATAGATAGATTCATTGAATTAAAACACTCGGATAGATAGATAGATTCATTGAATTAAAAAGATCGGATAGATAGATTCATTGATTAAAAGAATCGATAGATAGATAGATTCATTGAATTAAAAGATCGATAGATAGATAAATAGATTCATTGAATTAAAAGACTCGGATAGATAGATAGATAGATTAAAACACTCGATAGATGATAGATAGATTATAGATTGAATAGATAAAGATATATAGATCGATAGACAGATAGATATATAAATAGATAGATAGATAGATTCTTTGAATTAAAACACTCGGATAGATAGATCGATAGATAGATAGATTCATTGAATTAAAACACTCGGATAGATAGATAGATAGATAGATAGATAGATAGATAGATAGATAGATAGATAGATTCATTGAATTAAAAGACTCGGATAGATAGATAGATAGATAGATAGATAGATAGATAGATAGATTCATTGAATTAAAACACTCGGATAGATAGATAGATAGATTCATTGAATTAAAAGACTCGGATAGATAGATATATAGATGAATAGATAGATTCATTGAATTAAAAGACACGGATAGATAGATAGATAGATAGATAGCTTCATTGAATTAAAAAACTCGGATAGATAGATAGATAGATAGATAGATAGATAGATAGATAGATAGATAGATAGATAGATAGATAGATTCATTGAATTAAAAGACTCGGATAGATAGATAGATAGATAGATAGATAGATAGATAGATAGATTCATTGAATTAAAACACTCTGATAGATAGATAGATAGATAGATAGATAGATATGAAAAGGACTGTGATAGACTGTCCGATAGTTTTCATGAAATAATAAGGGAGGGATCGTATTGAAGGGGAGGAAAGCGTGAAGTAGAGAGAGAAGGAAAGGTCGTTATGAAAGAGAGAGAGTGTGTGGCCGGAATTCGCCGTTACCTTTTCAGAATATTTTCCCATTCACTTTGAAATACTTTCCTTTATTTTGCTGTTTGACTGATGCAGGGACGAGATAGTTTCTCACCTTTCGTAAAGAAACGTAAAGCCGACGTGAGCCGGATTCGAACCCAGTTTACCGATTCCATTTTCCATGTGACATCAAGCTTTTTATTTGCCTCTAAAATCGCAAAATTGTGAATGAAATATTGAATTCTTGTTGGAATCTTTTTCCGAAGATTCATTACCCACCCCGCCTGGACGTAAAAGAAAAATCTCAGTGGAATTTGCATAAATTTGCATAAATTATAAAAAGATAGATCAATAATTATCGATTGATTTGCTATTTTTATTGCCATTTCTAAATGAATTCATTTTTTCTTTTCCCATCTTCTGATAACCATTGATGGTCGGAGATAAATTGGCATAAAATGGAAAAAAAATTGAATTGAAGAAAAATTTCAAAAAAGAAATTTTATTTGCAAAGAAAAAATATTTTTTATTTTTAAATAATTTTGAAAATTTTTAATAAATTTTTCCATCGTTTATAAAAAGAAACAAACAATTTTCGATGGAACCAAAAAATCTTCAATAGATTCAGATTCTTTAGAATTTAAACAAAACTTTTTAGATAAAAACAAAAAAATTTTTTTTTTTATATTATATGCCGTGTGTTTTTTGTATATATACATGTGTGTGTATATGCCGTGTGTGTGTGTATATATATAGTGGTGTTTGTATATGGAGTGTGTGTGTATATATATATAGGTGTGTGTGTATATGCCGTGTTTATCTATATATATGTGTGTGTATATATATATATATGTGTGTGTGTGTGCATATATATATATATATGTGTGTGTGTGTATATGCCGTGTGTGTGTATATGCTGTGTCTGTGTGCATATAAATATGTGTGTGTGCGAATATGCCGTGTATGTGTGCATATATATATGTTTTTGTATATATATCTGTGTGTGTATTTGCCGTGTGTGTATATATATGTATATATATATGTGTGTGTGTATATGACGTGTGTGTATATATATATATATATATATATATGAAAAAATATCTGGATGAATTCAAAACAAAATCCTTAAAATGGATTATGTTGTTTTAATATGAATGAAATGTCGACGTCTGACGTTTCGGTTTAATAACCTTCTTCAGGACAATATTCATTAAAAATACAATTAACATAATCAGTATAACACCACGAAAACGATGGATTTAAGGATTTTTGTTTTGTTTTTCCAGATATTTTCTTCATTCTGTCGGATTTATATCCATTTATATTTGCTTATCATATATATATATATATATTTATATGAGTGTGAGTATATGCCGTGTGTTTGTGTCTATATACATGTGTGTATATGCCGCGTGTGTGTGTATATATATATAGTGGTGTGTGTATATGGAGTGTATGTGTGTATATATATATATATGTGTGTGTATATGCCGTGTGTGTTCATATGCCGTGTGTGTGTGCATATGTATATGTGTGTGTATATGCCGTGTGCTTGTGTGCATATATAAGTGTGTGTGTATGTGCCGTGTGCGTGTGCATATATATATGTGTGTATATGCCGTGTGTGTCTGCATATATATATGTGTGTGTGTGTATATGCCGTGTGTGTCTGCATATACATATGTGTGTGTGCGTATATGCCGTGTGTGTGTGCATATGTATATGTGTTTGTGTATATATATGTGTGTGTATTTGCCGTGTGTGCATATATGTATGTGTGTATATGCCGGGTGTGTATACATATATATATATGTGTGTGTGAGTATATGTCGTGTGTTTATGTATATATACATGTGTGTGTGTGTATATATATATGTAAAAAGTGTATATATATAGATAGATGTATATGAATGTGTATGTGCATATATATATATATATGTGTGTGTGTATATGCCGTGTTGTGCATATGCCGTGTGTGTGTGCATATATATGTGTGTGTGCATATATATGTGTGTGTGTATATATATGCCGTGTGTGTCGGCATATATGTGTGTGTGTGTGTGTGTGTGTATTGTGTGTGTATATATATATGTATATGTGTGTGTGTATATTTATGCCGGGTGCGTGTGCATATAAATATGTGTGTGTGCATATATGCCGTGTGTGTGTGTGCATATGTATATGTGTTTGTGTATATATATATGTGTGTGTATATGCCGTGTGTGTGTATATATATAGTATATGCAGTGTGTTTGTATATATATATATATACATATATATATATATATATATATATGTGTGTGTGTGTGTGTGTGTGTGTGTAGATATATATATAGTTTGTCTATATGTACGTGTGTTTGTCTATATGTACATGTGTGTGTATATGGCGTGTGTGTGTATATATATAGGTTTGTTTGTATACGCCGTGTGTTTGCATATATATATGTGTGTTTGCATATCTATATGTGTGAGTGTATGTGCCGTGAGTGTGTGCATATATATATATATGTGTGTGTATATGCCGTGTGTGTGTGTGCATATATATATATATATGTGTGTGTGTATGCCGTGTGTGTTTTCATATATATATGTGGGTGCATATGCCGTGTGTGTGTGCATATATATATATGTGTGTGTGTGTATGTTCCGTGTGTTTGTGCATGTATATGTGTGTGAGTGTGTATATGCCGTGTGTGTGTATATGCTGTGTCTGTGTGCATATATATATGTGTGTATGCGTATATAGATTGTGTGTGATGATATATATATCTGTGTGTGTATATGCCGTGTATGTGTGCATATATATATGTGTGTGTATATGCCGTGTGTATATATATATATATATATATATGAGTGTGAGTATATGCCGTGTGTTTGTGTATATATACCTGTGTGTGTGCATATGCCGTGTGTGTTTGTATATATATATAGTTCTGTGTGTATATGGAGTGTATGTGTGTATATATATAAGTGTGTGTACATGCCGTGTTTATGTGCATATATATATATGTGTGTGCATATGCCGTTTGTGTGTGCATATGTATATGTGTGCGTGTATATTTCGTGTGTGTGTTAATATATATGTGTGTGTGTATGTGCCGTGTGTGTGTATATATATATGTGTGTATATGCCGTGTGTGTCTGCATATATATATATATGTGTGTATATGCCGTGTGTGTGTACAGATATATATGTGTGTGTATATGCCGTGTGTGCAAATATATGTGTGTGTACATATATATATGTGTTTGTGTATGTGACGTGTGTGTGTGCATATATGTATGTGTGTATATGACGTGTGTGTCTGCATATATGTGTATGTGTGTGTATATGCCGTGTGTGTCTGCATAAATGTGTGTGTGTATATGCCGTGTGTGTCTGCATATATATATATATGTGTGTGTGTGTGTATTTCGTGTGTGTGTGCATATATATATGTGTTTCGTATATATATATTGTGTGTTAAAATGTGTGTATAAATATGTGTTTTTGTATATATATATGTGTGTGTGTATTTGCCGTGTGTATATATATATATGTGTGCGTGTATATGCCGTGTGTGTGTGCATATATATATATATGTGTCTGTGAGTATATGCCGTGTGTTTATGTATATATACGTGTGTGTGTATAGATATACGTGTGTGTATATGTCGTGTGCATATATATATATGTGTGTGTGTATATGCCGTGTGCGTTTGTGTATATATATGTGTGTGTGTATATGGCGTGTGTGTGTACATATATAGGTGTGTTTAGATAAATAGATAGATATTAAAAGGACTGAGTTAGAATTAATGAGACAATAATGGAGTGAATTTATAGAAGAGAGAGAAGGAAAGCTTGAATGAAAGAGAGAGTGGGGGGGTAGAAATTCTCCCCTTTCTTTCAAATAGCTAGACAGATTTACTGATAGATAGACCGAGTGATAGAAAGACAGATAGACTGATCGATAGTTTTCATGGAATAATAAGGGAGGGATCGTATTGAAGGGGAGGAAAGCGTGAAGAAGAGTGAGAAGGAAAGGTCGTTATGAAAGAGAGAGAGTGTGAGGGCGGAATTATCCGTTACCTTTTCAGAATGTTTTCCCATTCACTTTGAAATACTTTCCTTTATTTTGCTGTTTGACTGATGCAGGGACGAGATAGGTTCATGCCTTTCGTAAAGAAACGTAACGCCGACGTGACTGGGATTTGAACCCAGTTTACCGATTCCATTTTCCATGTGACATCAAGCTTTTTATTTGCCTCTAAAATCGCAAAATTGGGAATGAAATATTGAATTCTTGTTGGAATCTTTTTTCCGCAGATTCACTCCCCCCCCCGCCTGGACCTTTTAAAAGAAAAATCTCAGTGGAATTTGCATAAATTTGCATAAATTATAAAAAAATATAGATCAATAATTATCGATTGATTTTCTATTTTTATTGCCATTTCCAAATGAATTCATTTTCCTTTTCCCATCTTCTGTCAACCATTGATGGTCGGAGACAAAGTTGGCAAAAAATGAAAAAAAATTGAATTGAAGAAAAAATTTCAAAAAATGAATTTAAAAAAATAAATTTTATTTGCAAAGAAAAAAAATAATTTTTTTTTTTTTAAATAATTTTGAAAATTTTTAATAAATTTTTTCCATCGTTTTTAAAAAAAACAAACAATTTTCGGTTGGAAACAAAAATCTTCGGCCAATTTTCAGATTCTTTCGGGAATTTAAACAAAACTTTTTTCGGTAAAACAGAAAAAATTTCTTTTTTTGACACAAAATAAAAATGGCCAAAATTATTTGAAGAAAAATCGAAAAATTCTTCATCGATTTCAAAGTTTTGAAGAATTTCGCCTTTTTCATTCCAAACAAAGATTTTCGATTCTGTTCGTCTTGACCCCCACAAATTCCCAGTCGTCGGATCGACACGAAGGCGGGGGGCATAATTACTCACCCCCAACGACGATGACCCCCCGGGGTGGATTGTTTGGATTTCTTGTCCGTTTTCATTAAAACAAACAATTTTTTGAAAATTCTTTTCACAAGCAAAAATTTTTTTGTTCATTTGACAAAAAGAAAAAAATTTCTTTTCTTTTGTTTCAAATGATTTTTGAATTTCTAAAAATGGCGCCTGTTTTTTTAGCGCCAAAAAGAAAATTCTTCCTCCCGACCCCCAAATATTTGTTCCTCCTTCGTTCTTCAAAAACTCCAGGCCACAGACAACCAAAATGTCTCCCGTCAGGCGACACATGTCCCAGGGGCAGAATTCCTTTCCTCCTTCCATTAAGGGACATTGGCCGACCATTTCGCCAGAATCACTGATGAATTCTAGGATCGATCGGCTTTGAAAATCGCCAACAAAGACGCGATTGTCTTCGTCGCCGGCGACAATCGATGAAATATCCAGCGGGTTCGATCCTTGCAGACGGCATTCACTTTCCACCTGCAAATGCCCGGATGTCTCTGCCTCCCACACGATTATTTCTTTCTTCAGTGACTCTAGGGAAATCGCGGCACCATTTCGGAAATGTCACCAGCCAACGTCCTTTTCTCTTGAGGAGCAAACGATTGACGGAGCCGCGCAGAAAGCTCAGCTCTCACCAACTTTAGACCCCGAGACGACGTCCACATCGTCGGCGTCGTCCGTCGACAAATGTTCCAATGTGTGGTGCCAGATTTCGACCTTCTTTAAATGGTTTTCTTTCTCCTTGAGGGAGTGGCGCCATTTTGTCTGCAGTTCGTACGCCATCACTTTCTTCATATTATCGCACAACTTGAGACGTGCTTCTTCCACGAATGCCTCAAAATCCCGAGTGAGTTTTAAGCAATCGGATTCGCAATCCGTTGACAGTTTTCCAATGGACTGCTTCGTTCGCTCACTCATCGCCCTGATGTTGAGTTCCCGCTCCAGGGTTGGGGCTGCGTATCTTCTCATTTGACGCTTCTTTTCTCACCGACAGAGAACGAGGCGGACACTGAGGGGAGGCGATCACGTGATCCAGGTAACATATTTTGCACAGGCACGTGTTGCACCACTGGCAGAAGGCGTCCTTGGATTGGCGGTGCCGTCGACAGTCGTCCGTCGTGATGACCCTGACGGCCCAACAAGTCTTTGGTCACGTGTCCGGTGTGGAATCTCTCGCAGGATTGGCACAAGCGTTTCTCGCATTCCTGACACCAAATCTGGACGGTCGATTCTCTTCCGTTCTCTTCAAAGCACCTGCCGCACCTCCATTCGCTGGTTTTCAGCTGACGGCGCCTCAAAGACTTCTCCAGAAATGGTGACAGTCTCAAATCGTCACTGGTGACAGGTTCTTGGCACTGGGGACACGGGCCATTTTCTTCTAGAATCATCTCAATACACGACCGGCAGAAGGAATGAAGACATGGTAATGTCTTTGATGACAAGTCCAACATTCGGTCGCATTTCGAGCATGGGAATGTCTCTACTTCACTCACACTGGACGCCATTTTGAAAATTTTGCCCCCAAATAAAAATCAATCTGTAAAGAAAGAAAAGAAAAAAAAAAAAAGGACAAAGTTAAAAATCAGAAAAAGCCGAAAAAAAAAGTCCATTTATAAAACCGGAAGTAAAAATGACCCGAAATTTCGTGATTTTACAAGAAAAACACATCGACATCCGGAAAAGAAATTTTCTTCTAAAATCCCAAATCAATGAAGTGGGTGGGGGGGGTGTGTAGAAGATTTATGGGTGGGGGCGAATAAAATAATTAGAGAGTGGGGAACAGAGAGAGTAGTTATCAATAAAGCTGTCATGCGAGTTTAAGGCATTTCATTGGACGAGAATAGTCACACCTCTGGACTGGAGGGTGTTACATGAGATAACAAGGGAGGGAAAAGCACGGATTGAATAACTGAAGGGGAGGAAAGCAAACGGACTGTGACATCATAGGTGTTTAAGGCATTTCATTGGACGAGAATAGTCACACCACTCAAGTGGGGGGCGTTACATGAGATGACAAGGGGGAGGAAAGAAACGGACTGTGAATCAACTGAAGGCATTTCATTGGACGAGGGAAAGAAGAAAAGGGGAAAATCGTGATATCACTGGGAAAAGCAAAGATTGAACGAATAGACACACGTACTGGACACGGACGCGGGTTATATTAGATAACAAACTCACACAAAAACATATATATATATATATATATATATACATCATATATATATATATATATATATATAGAATATAAGGCACCAAAAACTAATCTTCCATGGTTAACATTTATTACATTGAAATAGTAATCACATTCAATGACATCAGACCTTTACAAATTGACGAAAATTTTAAATGATTTAGATAGATTGATAGATAACAAGGAGGGAAAAGATAGATATTGAATAACTGAAGGGATAAAGATAGATACGACAGGAGGAGTTTGATAGGGATATTGATAGAGAACAGAATGACGTAGATAGATAGATAGATAACAGATATATATAGATGTTGAATAATTCATTGGATTAAAAACACAGATAGATCATGGGTAGATATTTATTGGACGAGAATAGATAGACCTCTGGATTCATTGAATTAAAAAACTAGGATAGATAAGATAGGGATACGAAAAGATAGATTGAATAAAAAGCTGAATATGAAAAATAGGAAAAAGCGATGACGTCATGGACTCGTCCAATATCCTTATTTCATTGGACGAGAATAGTCACACCTCTGGACTGTACGGGGTTACCTAAAAAGGGAGGGAAAAGCAATGGAAACGGCAGAAAACAAGGGAAAAGCAACAATTGGTCATGGTCAATTTCATTGAAGTTCACGTGCAAAAACTGAAAAAGCGCCAAATTCAAGTGAGCCACACCGGTGGATATTTAAACAGACGAGAATAGTTAAACCTTTGGAGAGGAGGAATAGCAGCAGTAATTACCAAAAGTTTCAAGATGTAACATTTCACCGTCTCTCGTCTTCGTCATTGCTGACCAGACGTTAAAGGGAGGGAAAGAAACTCACGACATCAGGGTGTCTAAGGAATTTCGGACGAGAATTTCCAATATACTGGACGCCGCTACAAACCACAATTATGCCGGGAAAACACTTCGGATTGATATTCGATCATTCATCAATCAAACTGTGAACATTTTTCTCAACTTTATTTATGTACAGAGAATTAAATTCACTACTAAAAAACAAATAAACATCAAATAATAACTGAAGGGGAGGAAACCACTGTCACATCAAACTCTTTTTAAAAACTCATTGGACGAATTACAACAAAAAGACAACGAACTAACGAACAATATCAACAAAGGAAAGAGACATTCACGAATCAAACAATTACACACACATTTTGTAAAAAAAAGACACACACTCATTACCCAATCTGTATATTGATAAATTGGATAAAATGTTGCATTGTTTTCTAAATTGCATGTTTCGTTTTTAATTGCATTTGAAAATAACACATTTATTCATTTGTTCGGGATACATGAGATAACAAGGGAACCAAAAAAAATGAATAACTGATTCTTTCTTAAATAACTAACACGTCCTGGGTGTCCCCTATAGATAGATAGAACGAGATAGATAGAAACAGATTGCAACAGACAGACGAACATGCATAAAACAATGTGGAAGTTTGTTGCCTGGCAACGAAATAAACACACTGTGACCCCCCCCCTAAGGCATTTCATGTCACCCTAACATGCACATTATAAGTCAGGGAGGAAAAACGACGAATGAGGAGACTTCAAAAATTTCATTGGAGAATAACACGATGTAAAAAAATGCCGCTAAACTTAATAAAAACACAATTTGATGTGAAACAATTCATTTTACTAAGAAGAGGAAACTGACGGAATTATTTTTCAAAAGCACGGATTTAACTGAAGGGGAGATTTCAAACACAAAAATTTTTTTTTTTTTTTTGGACGAAAATAGACAAGAGAACTTAAAAAAATTTTTGTTTTAACAAGGAGGGAAAAGTTCGGATTGAAAACAAGGAGGAAAGTGCTGTGACGTCATAGGATTTAAGGCATTTCATTGGACGAGAATAGTCACACCTCTGGACTGGAGGGCGTTATAAAAGATAACAAGGAGGAAAAAGCACGGATTGAATAACTGAAGGGGAGGAAAGCAAAACACTGTGACGTCATGGGTGTTTAAGGAAAATATTGACGAGAATAGTCACATAAATGGACTGGATTTTATACATGAGATAACAAGGGAGGAAAAGCACGGATTGAATAACTGAAGGGAGGAAATAAAACACACGTCATGGGAGTTTTTTTTTTTTTTGAATATTTCACATGATTACATGATAAAGGAAAAAGCACGGGATTGAATTGAAGGGGACGAAAAACTGAGTTTTTCTTTAAATATGATATTATTTAATGAGATAACAAAAAAAAGCAAGATTGAATAACTGAAGGGGAGGAAATAACACACTGTGACGTCATTTTTTTATAATATTTGGACGAGAAAAAAAGGAAAAGCCTTGAATAACTGAAGACTGGAGGGGTTTATATATATGAATATACACAACTGGGAGGGAAAACAAGGAGGAAAAACAGATTGAATAACTGAAGGGAGGAAATAAACACACTGTGACGTCATATGTTTAAGGCATTTATTGGACGAGAATATAAAAATGGACTGGAGGGCTTAAATGAGATAACAAGGGAGGGAAAAGCACGGATTGAATAACTGAAGGGGAGGAAAGCAAAAATACACTGTGACGTCATGGGTGTTTTAAGGCATTTCATTGACGAGAATAGACACACCTTTGGACTGGAGGGGTTACATGAGATAACAAAAAAGGAGGGAAAAGCACGGATTGAATAACTGAAGGGGAGGAAAAGCAAACACACTGTGACGTCATTGGGTGAATAAAATCATTTTTTTGGACGAGAATAGTCATTGAATAACTGAAAAAGGAAAACAAACACACTGGACGTCATGGGTTAAATGCATTTTATTGGACGAGAAATAAATACTCTCTGGACTATTCATGGAAAACATTTATAAAATTTGAGGAAAAGCACGGATTGAATAACTGAAGGGGAGGAAAAGCAAACACACTGTGACGTCATGGGTGTTTAAAAAAGCATTTCATTGGACGAGAATAGTCACACCTCTGACTGGAGGGGGTTACATGAGATAACAAGGGAGGAAAAGCACGGATTGAATAACTGAAGGGGAGGAAAGCAAACACACCAGAAACGTCATTTTTGTTTAAGGCATTTCATTGACGAGAATAGTCACACCTCTGGACTGGAGGGGGTTACATGAGATAACAAGGAGGAAAAGCACGGATTGAATAACTGAAGGGGAGGAAAGCAAACACAACTGTGACGTCATAGGTGTTTAAGGCATTTCATTGGACGAGAATAGTCACACCTCTGGACTGGAGGGGTTAACTATGAAGATAACAAGGGAGGGGAAAAGGACACGGATTGAATAACTGAAGGGAATAACTGGAAAGCAAACACACTGTGACATCATGGGTGTTTAAGGCATTTCATTGGACGAGAATAGACACACCTCTGGACTGGAGGGGTTACATGAGATAACAAGGAGGAAAAGCACGGATTGAATAACTGAAGGGGAGGAAAGCAAACACACTGTGACGTCATGGGTGTTTAAGGCATTTCGCTGGACGAGAATAGTCACACCTCTGGACTGGAGGGGGTTATGAGATAACAAGGGAGGGAAAAGTACGGATTGAATAACTGAAGGGGGAAAGCAAAAAACACACTGTGACGTCATGGGTGTTTAAGGCATTTCATTGGACGAATAGTCACACCTCTGGACTGGAGGGGCGTTACATGAGATAACAAGGGAGGAAAGCACGGATTGAATAACTGAAGGGGAGGAAAGGAAACACACTGTGACGTCATGGGAGTTTAAGGCATTTCATTGGACGAGAAAAGTCACACCTCTGGACTGGAGGGGGGTAAATGAGATAACAAGGGAGGGAAAAGCACGGATTGAATAACTGAATGGGAGGAAAGCAAACACACTGTACGTCATGGGTGTTTAAGGCATTTCATTGGACGAGAATAGTCACACCTCTGGACTGGAGGGGGTTATAGATAACAAGGAAAAAGCACGGATTGAATAACTGAAGGGGAGGAAAGCAAACACACTGTGACGTCATGGGTGTTTAAGGCATTTATTGGACGATATATATATACTGGAGGGGGTTATATGAGATAACAAGGGAGGAAAAGCACGGATTGAATAACTGAAGGGGAGGAAAGCAAACACACTGTGACATCATATTTAATATATATTTATTGACGAGAATAGTATACTGGATAGATAACAAGGGAGGAAAAGCACGGATAATAACTGAAGGGAGGAAAGCAAACACACTGTGACGTCATATATTTAAGGCATTTCATTGGATAGAATATATACCTCTGGACTGGAGGGCGTTATATAGATAACAAGGGAGGGAAAAGCACGGATTGAATAACTGAAGGGGGGATATACATCATATATTATATATTCATTGGACGAGAATATACCTATGGAGGTTACATGAGATAAAAATATATAATAACTAGGAAAGCAAACACACTGTGACGTCATATGTTTAAGGCATTTCATTGGACGAGAATATCTGGACTGGAGGGGTTACATGAGATAACAAGGGAGGGAAAAGCACAGATTGAATAACTAAGGGGAGGAAAAGCAAACAATATGTGACGTCATATATTTAAGGCATTTCGTTGGACGAGAATAGTCACATATGGACTGGAGGGGGTTATATGAGATAACAAGGGTACGGATTGAATAACTATAAAATAAAGCAAACACTGTGACGTCATGGGTGTTTATATTTCATTGGACGAGAATAGTACATATGGACTGGGGGTTACATGAGATATATAGGAAAAGCACGGATTGAATAACTAAGGGGAGGAAAGCAAACACACTGTGACGTCATGGGTGTTTAAGGCATTTCATTGGACGAGAATAGTCCACCTCTGGACTGGAGGGCAAGTTATATAGGAGATAAAAAAAGGAGGGAAAAATCTCCATAACTGAAGGGGAGGAAAATTTAACACACTGTGACGTCATGGGTGTTTAAGGCATTTCATTGGACGAGAATAGTCATCTGGACCTTTACAAGATAACAAAAAAAGCACGGATTGAATAACTGAAGGGAGGAAAGAAACACACTGTGACGTCATGGGTGTTTAAGGCATTTCATTGACGAGAATAGAACCTCTGGACTGGAGGGGTTACATGAGATAACAAGGGAGGAAAAAGATTGAATAACTGAATAAAAAGCAAACACTGTGACGTCATTGTTTAAGGCATTTCATTGGACGAGAATAGTCACACCTCTGGACTGGAGGGGTTCATGAGATAACAAGGGAGGAAAAGCACATTGAATAACTGAAGGGGAGGAAAGCAAACACACTGTGACGTCATGGGTGTTTAAGGCATTTCATTGGACGAGAATAGCCAAAAACTGGAGGGGGTTACATGAGATAACAAATATTTTAGGATTGAATAAAAGAAGGGAGGAAAGCAAACACACTGTGACGTCATGGGTTTTTAAGGCATTTCATTGGACGAGAATAGTCACACCTCTGACTGGAGGGGGTTATTAAAAGCACGGATTGAATAACTGAAGGGGAGGAAAACACTGAAATCATATTTTTAAGGCATTTTTGGACGAGAAGTCATTCTTTATTCGTTGAATAACTGAAGGGGAGGAAAATCAAAACACTGTGACGTCATATGTTTAAGGCATTTCATTGACGAAATAGTTTATCTGGACTGGAGGGGTTTTTTTTTTTTTCATAAGGTTTAAGGCATTTCATTGACGAGAATCGGGTAATATTTTTGAATAACTGAAGGGAGGAAAGCAAACACACTGAGACGTCATTTTTTTTCATTGGACGAGAAAAAACCTCTGGACTGGAGGGGGTTAATTAACAAAGGGAGGAAAAGCACGGATTGAATAACTGAAGGGAGGAAAAAACACACTGTGAACATGGGTGTTTAAGGCATTTCATTGACGAGAAAATAGGACTGGAGGGGGTTTTAACAAGGGGTAAAAGACAGGATTGAATAACTTCATAAACACATTTTCAAGGCATTTAAAACGAGAATCGCTTCTGGACTGGAGGGGGTTACATTTTAACAAAAAAGAGGAAAAGCACGGGATTGAATAAAAGAGGAAAGAATGGGTGTTTAAGCATTTCATTGACGAGAATAGTCAATCCTATCTGGAGGGGTTTCAATAACAAGGGAGGGAAAAGCACGATTGAATAACTGAAGGGAAAAAAAACACATAGAAACTTAAATCTAAAAACTCATTTCTTTTTACCACAAAATCCGAATCAGACATTTTTTTAAATACTATAAATTTTAAGGAAATAACTGAAGGGAGGAAAGCAAACAATGTTACGTCAAAAAGGTTTTTTGGACGAAAATACACCTCTGGACTGGAGGGGGTTTATGGATAAAAAAAAAAAAAAACGGATTGAATAACTGAAGGGGAATCAAACGAAGTACGTCATTTCATTTCATTGACATTCATAAAAATATTTCGGTAAAAAGGGAGGAAAAGACGGATTGATTTGGAAATCGATAGGAAAATTTTGATTGACGAGAATTTTCAATTGAAATTTTCTGGGATTTAACAAGGGGAAAAGAAAACACACTGTTTTTTTTTGGACGAAATAGTCACATTTTGGAGGGGTTTCCTTTAAAAGAGACAAGGGAGGGAAAAGACAAATTGAATAACAAAAAAAATGACGTCATTCTGTTTAAGGCATTTCATTGGACGAGAATAGTTTTCACCTCTGGACTGGAGGGGTTACATGAGATAACAAGGAAGGGAAAAGCACGGATTCAATAACTGAAAGGAAATTTTGTGACGTCATGGGTGTTTTTCATTGGACGAGAATAGTCACACTGGACCACTTAACAAGGAGGGCGAATAACTGAAGAGAAAAAACAACACGTCATGGGTGTTTAGGGACGAGAAAAAGTCTGGACTGGAGGGGTTACATAGTGGGAAAAAGCACAAATTGAATAACTGAAGGGGAAGCAAACACAAACACACTGTGACGTCATAGGTGTTTAAGGCATTTCATTGGACGAGAATAGTCACCCCGACCCGGACTAAAAGGGCGTTTCATTAGATAATAAGGGAGGAACGGAGAGGGAGGAACGGAGAGGGAGGAACGAGAGAAAGAGAAGAAAGTGTGAGAAAATATGAGAAGAAAAAAAAAAGGGTATATGAAAGAGGGAGGGGGTCCTTTCAATTATTTCAAATAATTTATATTTGAATGGAAAGAAACTTTATTTTACATGAGATAACAAGGGAGGGAAAAGTATGGAGAGAGAAAAAAAGAAAGTGAGGAAAGGAGGAAAAAAGAAAGAAAGGCGGAAAAAATCGCAAACACACACACAGGCATGTACTGATAGACACACATACTGTTACGCACACACACATACTAGACCCGGATATCACCGGCAAGCGCCAGTGAGATAGATATATAAATAATGATATAGTGGGAGGGATAGATAGATAGACTCATACATAATGAAAAGTCAGAAAAAGATAGAAACATTTTGAACAGAGAGGGTATGGATAGTCATATACATACATATAAATATATACATATATATATATATATATATATATATATATATATATTTAAAAACACATACAGATATATATAGAGAGAGAGATATAGATAGATAGATATGAAAAGGACTTAAATATAGATAGATAAATATGAAAATTTTTTGAGATATATAGATAGATAGATAGATATGAAAAGGACTGAGATAGATAGATAGATATGAAAAGGACTGAGATAGATAGATAAATATGAAAAGGACTGAGATATATAGATAGATAGATAGATAGATATGAAAAGGACTGAGAAGATAGATAGATAGATAGATAAACAAAGCGATATAAATTTATTCTTGTGTAAAAGGCAGATATTTTTCCTTTTCTTTTAAATAAACAGATTGACAAATAGATATATACAAAAATAGACCGATATAAATTATCATTTTTTTGACAAAAAAATTTCTGTTCACGAGAAAGAGAGACAGAGGGAGAGGGTAGGAATTTTTCTTTTAAATAAAGAAATAGATATATAATTAATGATCAGTCAGAAATGGGTAGATAGAATGAACAGAGAATATATATATAGAGAGAGAAAGCTATTCTAGTGACTATGGACGTTAGGTCACTATATTCAAACATTAAAAACATCGAAGGGCTGGCCGCCCTTCAGGAAGCACTTACTAAAAGAAGAAAACAGGACCCCCCCCCCACAGAAGTCATAAAACCCATGGAGCATGTCCTTACATTGAATACTTTCAACTTCAATGTAGCACACTACCTTCAAATAAGAGGTTGTGCCATGGGCACCATTGCAGCTCCATCATATGCTACAATATTCATGGAAAATTTGATTTCCCATATCTATCCCTTCATTGGTAGCGACTGCGTATTCTATGCAAGATATATCGATGATATATTCTTTGTATACACGGGTAGTGATGACAAACACCCAATTCCTTATGACCCTAAACACAGTGCACGACTCAATTAAGTTTGACTATGAAAATCCACAACATCAGTAACATTTTTAGACACCCGCATTTACATAGAAGAAAAACAGGAAACTACAAAACGACACTTTTACACTGAAATCACCGACACCCACAACTATCTACACTTTAAGTCTTCCCCACCCTAAACACCTCAAAGAGAACCTTCCCTATTCACAAGCACTTAGACTCAGAAGGATATGTTCCAACAATGAAGAATTAAATAAACACATTGAAAATCTGGAGCATCAATTCACAACACGTGGCTATAAACAACACCTAATCAGGAACAAATAAATAAAAAATTTCCACACCCTAGAAAGACACCCTAATGTACAAGATTAAAAACAAATCTAGCCGCATTCTCTAGTAACCACTTTCAATCCCACTCTGCCTCCACTATCCCAAATAATCAAACGTCGCTGGGAAATACTACATCTCAAACCAGACCGAAAAAAAAAAACAGATTAAAGAACCCGGCCTTCTTGCATATCGTAGACCTAAGAACCTAAAAGAAATCATAGGGTAGTAACCACATTTCAGGGACAAGGTAATCCGTAAGGAACTGAGAACAAAAACAACAGGATTTTCCCAACCATGTAACAACAAAAAGAAGTATATGTTGCAACCATATTAAAAACACGAATTCATTCACTAGCTCAATCACTAAATCTACTTTCAAAATCTACCACGATTCTAACTGTACAAGTCAAAACATAATTTACCTCCTAGAATGCACACTATGCCAGAAAAACAATATGTAGGAAAATCTGAATGGCCCTTTAACTACAGAATTAATAATTATCGTAAGCGAATTAAATCGACAGATATGAACAGTTATTACCTGAAGAACAACGTTTCCGCCTAGAAAAACACGATTTCAAAACCCATGCCAGATTCACTATAATTGAGAGAATAGAAAAGTTCAGAGCAGATAACATTAGAAAGATTTTAGAGTCCCATGAAAATAAGTGGATACAACGTCTAAAAACAAAATACCCAGCCGGGCTAAATCATAAATTTAACAATATATAATAGTAACAATATATAAATATAACTCAACAAATCAAAACCTACCCACATTTCTCACCCACACAAGACAGACATGCTTACGGAGGAATGGAGGCCTCACACTTATACACTCACCCACAATGATTATACACACGTACACACACATACTCACTCACCCCTAATGAGCCAAATGATAAACACACACCTACAGCAATACACACACTTACACATATCATACTCACTCACCCCTAAGAACCAAATAACACACACACAAACACTAAACAGAGACACATCCCCTCACCAGGTCCAATAAAACTGTCAAACTGACCAGAGAATTCAGGATAAAATGTATCTATCCAGTTCTTATCTCAAATAACAACTTAAAAGTGACTGTTTGACCAACACAAGGAATGTTAAAAGATTCATGTGAAAAAGATAAAAAATAAAAAACAAATGAAAACTACAGACAAAAAGTTCATTTTCTCCAACAAAAGACATTCATTTCTGTAGTTCACTGCTAACAGCAAAAGAAATATTTCTCCACCTGATGATGGCCATTTCGGTCGAAACTAGTCGAGGAATCTAAATGGAATAATAATAATAAAAAAACGAAAGAATATTAATCTACAAACCCAGTGTGTCTAATGATTTTAATTTTTTCTTTTCTTATTGTTCAAAATATATATATATATATATATATATATATATAGATAGATATGGAAAGGACTGATAGATAGATAGATAGATAGATAAAATATCTATTAAAGAGATGATAAATAATTGTGATTTTGAATCTGCCACGCAATTTGCAGCGAAACCAGTAAATAATTTAGAGCGCAAAATATGATTGTTTTTCATACTCAGAAAACACTAGTGTCGGAGTGGCTTTCTTGCCTTCCTTTGTGTGAAATGGTTTCAAGATTAAAGAGAAAGGAAATGTCTCTTTCTATTCATGAAATTATTTAAGAAAATTGGAGAAATTAGAAATCGATAAAATTCATATTTACAGTTGATTTTGATTTCACTTGAGTGGAATTGTTTTTTGTCAAAAGGCGTGGGACCCAAACAAACAGCAAACGTCGTCTTCTTTGTTGAATTGTCTCCGACAAAAGTTAATTCAATATGAACCATCCTACGAGAAGAAGGAAAAACTTAATTAAAGGAAGAACTTAAATCCAAACGACAGGACGCGGAGAAGAAATCTGGCACCTCTTTGTCGGCACCATCTTCCCCTGTCACTAAACATCATTCCATGGTCCCTCCCCCTATCACTAAACCTATTAGGGAAGTAGATTCATCAATGACCACACTAAAAAGGGACCTGCGACAAAATCTCCTGCAAAAAAACATCACCTAAACATTCTCCCATGAAGACCCCAAAACCTCACCATCAAAACACGAACAGCAAAAAGCGCCAAAGAAGTCCATCTTCGGATGCTTCTGAAGCCACCACAGAAAAGAAAATCAAATCTAGACCATTATACAATACAGGGGAAGATGTGTGCCGAATTTCAAAGGAACAGAAGAGAAGGCATTACTACATGCAAAAAAAATTAAAATATTTAAAACTCTTTAAATTTCCGGAAATTGAACAATTTAGATGTGGAGAACTCCCCGGAATTTCCCCAACGCAAAAAGGGTTCTCACTGTTGTGAGATCGGGGTTTGCTGGTCAGCAAATATGGGCCATGATGGCCAATGCAAATGAAACCTTTACCATGTTTCCACCGATGTCGTGTTTTGACGACGAAAACGTCAAAAAAATTACAACAATTTTGTTCAGGAGGTACCCGATTTTCGTTCACCCCTCCCCTGTATAAGCTTTAAAGCTAACGTTCCCCCTTGGACATTGGCGGCCTGTCTCCTGATGGCACCATCAAGAGTGAGATGGGTACTGGCTCAATGGGAGAGGCCGTCAGTGTCCTGACCCCGGCCATGTTCAATGCAGGAGAGCAACCCCTAATCGGTTCCATCATGGCTCTCTGGTTAGCAAAGTGTGAATGCCTGAGGCCTGAGGTCCGAGTCTCGCAGGGCGAGGCTCTCTCGCGATCTTCAGCGTCTCGGGGTGAATATCTGTTGTGTACAAGAGACCCGTTTTTCTTCTCGTGACTATGAGAAACATTCTGTCTAGGGGTTTTTCCTCTATTCAGCATGTTTTGATGGACGCTCGAGGGTGTCTCTTGGTTGGTGAGCAAGTCATTGAAGGCTGCGTGTGTTCTTGTCTTCGCGGATCCGGCGGGCAGGCTTTGCGTGCTGGACGTTACCATAAAGGATAAGGCTCTGCGTCTCATTGGGGTTTATGCGCCCAATGTCCATTCTGAGCGGCCTGCCTTGTTTCGGCAGATCGAGCAGTTTTTTGACGACATCACGTCAGGTAGTTTTAGTGGGTGATTGGAATGCCGTCCTTGATCCCGATATAGATCGCATAGGGACAAATTCGGGTACTAACAACCGGGACGTGAAACCATTTCGGTACTTTATCGACAAGTTTGATCTTGCCGATAAGTACCGGAATGGACACCCTCGGGAGGTAGTGTGGACTTGGACAAATAGTGGCGGCTCGGCTAGTTATCTAGACCGAGTCTTAGTTAGGAGAGTCGATGTAGGGCTCTTAGGGTGTCCAAGTTTCCATGAGATAGTTTATTCGGATCATAGGCTTGTCCGGGTCCGTGTAAACTTAGATAAGCCTAAGGTTAGGACGGCTGGCTACTGGAAATTAAACTCATCATTATTTGGTGAGCAAGATTTCCGGGACCAGCTTCTACTAATGATACAGAGGGAATTGACGGGAGCGGTTGTGAGTAATGCCTGGTGGGATAAATTAAAATCCAAAATTAGAACGTTTGCTGCTGATTATAGTCGTCGGCTCAATCTAGATAGATTAGCAGCGCAAACGGCTTTAGAGCAGAAAGTTAATCGGGCGGTGAAATCCCGTGATAGTGGGGACATAGCTTTAGCTAAGGCAGAGCTGGCCTCCTTGCTTATCAAGAAGGATCAAGCTCTGGTAGTTAGGGCTAGGTTAAAAAAGAATGTCCTCTGAGGCGACGAATAACATGCCGCAGAATTGCGTGCAAGGAAGCTCGGCATGCATCTCAACGACATATCGCGAGCGTCACATTGCCGGATAAGCGGACCGTGACAACAAACGAGGGCATATGTGAGGCTTTTCGTGACTACTTTCAGGAGCTTTTTCACCAGGGAGCCCGGTCTGAGCTCTGCTCAGTTCGACACCTATTTAGCTGACTTTCCCCCACCTCGAGGCAGCAGCTGAAGCAGCTAGGTGCGAGGGTCCAATTACAGAGTCGGAAATCTGGGATGCGTTGAAACAGGTTGGCCTGGACAAATCTCCGGGACTTGATGGTCTTCCGCACGAAGTGTACTTGAGGCAGTCGCCCGTTTTTGTTCCGCTGCTGGCACTGATTTTCGGCAACTGGATGAAGCGGGGGTCTATACCCCAACGCTTCACCAGGGGCGTGATCGAAGTTGTTACGCAAGAATAAAACGGTGGGGATGGGTTATGCCCTTTAACTATGTTAAACACAGAGTTAAAGATTTTGGGCTAAGATCCTGGCTAACCGTTTGCAGGCTGTCCTGTCTAGTCTGATTGGCCTGAACAGACTTTTTGCTGTGAAGGGCAGGACTATTCAGGACAACCTTCATATTGTGCGCCTGATCATCGAGCAAGTCGACAGTGAAGCCGCGCTGATCAATTTAGATCAGTCCAAGGCCTTCGATAGGGTTGACCATCGTTTTTCTGGAGGCTGTTCTTTCGGCGGCCGGTTTCGGGCCGTACTTTCGCACCTGGATCCGACTTCTGTATGCGACCCCGGTGCGCTGGTGGAGGTGTGAATGGGGTACGATCGGAGCCTTTCGTATTGTCTCGCTCCATTCGTCAGGGTTGTCCGCTATCGCCTTTGCTTTACGTTCTTGCGTTGGAACCTTTCCTTCGCAAGTTAAAGGCGAATCCGGTCCTACGTGGAATTGCCCTGCCCGGTGCTACCACATCGGCCAGGTATTCCGCCTATGCTGACGACGTTTCGGCTCTTGTGTCGAGCAGAGCCGAGATTAACGAAGTCAGCAAAGAAATCAGTTGTTATGAGATGGTGACAGGGGCCAAGATCAACCGTGATAAGTCTGTTGGCTTGCGGTTGGTGCGTGGAAGGGAGTTTCTCTTCCCGGACCTTTCCACTGGACGGATGGGCCGGTCAAGATTCTAGGCGTCTTTTTTCGGTCCTGATCTCCAGTTGGAAATGAATTGGTCGGAGGTGCGAGGGAAGGCCGAGATCCGCAATTAAATTGTGGTCTCGGAGGAATCTTCCTTAAAGGGAGGGCGGAAGTTTGTGTTTCACATCTACCCGATTCTCCTTTACCGACTCTCTGTGCTTCCACTTCCGTGTGACACTTTACTGGCGTTAGTGAGGCTCTTGTTCTCCTTCTTGTGGGGAGGCAAGGCTGCCAGAGTCAGTCGGAGATCTGTTGCCTTCATCCATCTGAAGGCGGTCTGAGCATGCCAAGCATTGAGATTCGTCAACATATGCTTCGCATTAGTTTTCTGGATCGAATGTGTCGCGATTCGGATGAGGAGGGCGCCTTCTGGAAGCAAGACGCCCGTAAGAACTTCCCATCCCTGAGAAGTGTGCATTCGAGCGAGGAGGAGGCCCGCCGTTTACCCCCGAGCCGAATGCTCCTTCTATCGTGAATGTCGTATTGCTCTCAGCGCCTCTTACGGGCGTCGGATGGCCCTCTCAACGTCCAGGCGTTGTCTCGTAGGGCATTATATCAAGTTTTAGTCAGGGGGGCCGTGCATGATGATCTGATTGACGAGCTCGGTTTGACGAGGCAGCAGGCTCGCTCAATATGGCCTTAAGCGCCCGGGTTGAAATGCCTCAATAACGATGAGGCATCACTCACCTGGCTGGTGATACGTAGGGCCCTCGTCGCCAAGAGACTCTGCTCAGCTGACTTGGAGAATTCTCCAAACTGCCGACGTTGTAGTGGGGAGGTCGAGACCTTGGGTCACGCCTTCTTTCATTGCAGCCAGGTAGTGCCGTTGGTCAAGTTTGTTGAAGGCCTCATGGTCCGCATGCTGCAGGGAAAGTCCTTTGTCCTTCAGTCCGTTTCCGTTTGTAGCAATGTGGCACCGCCGCTGACGAAGGCTGAACAGTATGTGTTTCCACTGCTTGCTAGGTGTTATGAGAGTCGTGGTTTGGACGACACGTCAGAAGGGATTCTATGGAGGCGAGAAGTTCACCTCTTCCCCAACTGATCTTGTACTTTAAGCATCAGCTTAAAGTCAAGATTAGGACGGAAAGGCGGCGGCTCATTCATCAGAATTCAGCAAAGGTGGGTGAATCTTGCGCGCTTGTGTCGTGTGAAAGGAGCTGACTTTGAGTGGCACATTGATGCCGGTTAGGCATCAGGATATTGCTCTTCCTGGGTTGAACTTGTGCAACCCATCCTGAAACTAGGCTAGCTTAGGTTTTTTTCATTTTGATGATTTAGTTTGCTTTTTTCAGTTAACTTAGCTAGGGTATGTATGCTCATTGGCCCCCTTTATTTCTGTCCCCATTTGTTTTTTCTTTTGTTTAATTCCCCATCCCTCCCTCGTTAGGGTGGTCAGTGATGTCAGTTCGCTGGTGGATGCGGGGCGCCTTTCGTTTTCGTGTGAGTGATTTTTTTTCGTATTTGTTGTTGTGTCTGAATGAGTGCATGTCAGTGTGAGTGATTGGGATGAATGAATGGTTTATACTATTATAGTCCCGCATTGATTTCGGCCAGTGAAGTGATGTTTCTGTCACATTTAGGAAATTGTGGGGGTTTTATTACTAATCTTATTTTCTTTAGTTTCTTGTAAATAGTTTTTGTATGCATATTGTAAATACTCATTGGGGTTTTTTAGAATTGTTGTTTTATTCCCTCCCCCACAGACCATGAATTGTAAATATGGGGACTAGTTAGTATTTTCATAGAGACAAAGAGGTATTATGGTGGTTGTAGTAAGAAAGGTACGTATGAATGTGTTTTTCATGTAAGGAATATTGTTTCGGTGTTTGGGTCAGTGCTTGCGGCTAGCTAAGTTATAGTTAAGACAGAAGAAGACCGTCCTTTCCCCAATCCCCTTTTCGGCCTTTATGACATTTCTATATTTTAAACAGAATAAATATCATTGGTTTTGAAATAAAAGGACGTATGGCTACGTTTTCACGCAATTAAATATTGTTTTAGGATGTTGGATGACGTCTTAATCATTATTAAGACAGAATAAACACGCCACTCCCCATGAAATAATGCCTTGTGCCACATTTTTAATAAACAGAATAAAAAAAAGACAGAAAATTTCGGTTTGAATTTAAATTTCAATAAAAATAAATCTATCAATTTATGAAAACTTCACGAAAACGTCGAATAAATATGATTCTTTATTTTTAA